AAAACACACAGCAGCCACAGTCACTTGACTTCTGGAGTGGCACTTTTCCCCGGCATTTCCCCCCCGCGTTGCCCCTCCGCTCACCGACTTTTCCTTTTCCACCCGCCTTTTGCCACTCGCACTCGAAATGCTTAAATGCTAAACACGCCTGGCAAATTAGCTCCTTGTTCGCCCTTTTTCCTCAACAGGTTCGCCACGTAAAATCCATCCTTCGTTGGAGGGAAGCCCTCCCTAAAAAAAAAAAGAACCCCCCCTGCAATCCAAAGCAAACACCTCCCACTGGCTTATCAAATTTCGAAACTTTCAATTGCACTTCACAGCTCGAGCTGATATTATAACTAGATTTGATTACATTTTGATTCGATTCCATCCAGGATTTCGTTTAATTGGTCTCCGGGAAGAAAGCAATTTCGGGACAAAGTCCCCCCCGAAAGATTTACGATTTACGATGCACCCTTTATCAACGCCCTTTCTTCATTTCTTTCCGCACGCTCCAATTCATTTGGAAGCGATTTGTGTGGATTTATGGTTTGTTTGTCTCATTGGCAACTTGCTGCATAAATTTCCAATAATTATGGAAAATAAATCCAGCTGGAGATCGTGTGTAGTGTGTAGTGCGCTGTGTAAATGCAAAATCAACAAGAACAACGCGAAATCAGTCAAGTATTTTCCTTTTTTTTCTCGAAGGCAGAGGCAGAGGAGGGAAAACGACCAGTTGTGCTGATTCACACAGGTAAAAACTCGGGGCGAGAGGTGTGAAAACGGTTTTAGAGGCGAGTTTTGGTAGGGGGGAAAGGCGAAGAGGGGAGGGGGATGGGGGAGCACTCGAGTGTTTGGAAAATAAACGATGTTGTCTATGACAAGGCATGACGGTAATGACCAACGCTGCTGGACCAGAGATTCTGCTCCTTCTTGGCCAGCCTTCCTTCATCTGCTGCTGCTTTTTTAGCCGCGTCATTGTTGCCAAGCTCCTCGGCAGCTTTGTTTTTGATTTACTTATACAAAAGCACTGCGGTAAAATCGGAGGGGCTTCGCAGATACTTTTAAAGTAAATAATATTCCAGAATAAAAGCTTAAAAAGTGGTCTAAATTGTCAAGAACATCTTACTAAAAATGGGATTTAAGGCAATCCGCATTTCATATATTAAAAATATTTTTGATAAAGAGAAATAAATAGTTAATACAAATAATTATGAACCAATATTTGTAGTAACTTTTGAAGAGTTTTAGCAACCTTAATGTGGATATATTTATTAATGGTTATTTAACATTACCTATTTGTAATGTAAGTTTTCAATGAATACGCTTTTCCACATTAACTTTCTGCAATTTCCCGAACTTTTCTTATCCTGCTGCTTTTCCCAACTCGTTCTTTGGCCAGTGCATTTTGCACATACCTTTGCAGGCATATTTTTGTTTTGGGAATTTTTCAATTCAAGGTTTTGGCCGGTGTGCTTCGCACCTCTCTAAAAAAAAAGAAGCCCTCTTTATCCCTCGCTCCACGAGTCCCGCCTTCGGTGTTTTTCTCCGTGTTTCCTCTTCCTTGGTTATATTTTTTTATTATTATTTTGTGCAGCATCATGGTCCCAGGCCCCGTGTTTCTGGGTTCCAGAGTTTCTCGGTTCTCGGTTCTCGATTCCCGGGTTTCTTGTCTCAGAGCTTCTCTGAGAGGCTGCTGACTGCCTGCCTGCCTGACTGCCTGCCTGCTATCAATGGCAAAACCTTTTTGGATTGTTATTTTTGCTGTCTGCACTTGTGCGGAGGAGCCGGAGAATCGGGCTGACTGGCATCATAAATCATCTCAAGTGGCTGCCACCGCTGATGCCGCCGCCAGCCAGCCCTCAAAATCCTGCTATTTCGGTTCTTGTATCTATAACTATAACAATTTGCAAGTGTAGCTAGCGCGCGCTCAGATACAGATACACACGGCCATACACTCATCGCGCGGACTGTCAGTCAGTCAACACTTTTGACATTTTCGCTGCACTAATTTGCGCACTTGAGCGTATTATTGTTGCCAGTTGTGAACTGCAGATGGATGGATACTTGTGTTTTAGATACAATTTGAATTCGTATGGGGGATTTTTTACGACTCAATCAGCTGAAGAAATCCAATGACTTTCACACAAAGAAGAAGGATATAAACGGCAGATGGGGTTGCAAAAAAGTACTTTGTTTCAGTACAAGATATTTGTATCTTTTAGGGCAAGATACAATATCTAAAAAATGTGAAATTCTACTTAGATATAAAATACCTATAACTATTTCCCTAATATCTACTACATAAAAAACATTTAAGAGTAACTTTGCAATCTCTCCTCTTCACTTTTGTAAGAAACATTTCTACAAATATTTTTAAATACCGACTTATAATTGTATATTAAACTAAAGAAACTATGGCGCGGCACTTTATTGAGTGCGCTCTTTCATCTGGAGATACAAATACATCTGTTGTGCCAGAGATACAATTTCAAATTCTAAAGGAGCCCTTTCCTTTCTCACAACTTAATCCGGGCACAGGTACCTCGAGACACTCGGTTGCATCCATGAGATACATTCTCTTTTTCGTGGCGTTAAACTGACAACAGCTGTGCGGCACATTTGCAAAACGCTGAAGGAGCGAGGAAAGAGGAAAGAAGATAAAGATGCGGGGGAGGAGGAAAGGGAGAGCATTTCGTCAACATTGCGACCCTCTGATTTCTGCACTCTTCAAAGCAGGTTATATACGCCATAAGCCGGATTCTTCGCCACTTTATTGCCCCAGAAATGTGGCAACAGCGCATCAAACAGCTGCTGGAATTCCTAGGGATATTTCGAGTGTCTTTCACCCGAGAAACCCAAGAAGATCACGATTGAAATCGATATTTCAAATTGGTCAGCTTCGAACTATAAAGTTTTTCAATATTTATATTGGAAAGTTTTAACGAGTTGTATAAATAAATCAACTATTTTAATTGTTACTTTTCTCACGAAAGATCTTTAATAAAGATGTCGTGTCTTTAACACTTTATAAATTGGCTTTGAAATAAATATAAACAAAGAAGGGATAGGGCGTATGGTTTTGTTTTTATAAATATATCAACATGATGACTTTATATTGGCTGAATGGATTTTTTAATCGTTTCGGTAATATAAATAATTACCATATACTCAAAAATGTACTCATAAACTTAGTTTAGACAGAAATACGCTCTAAAATACTTAATACATATATCTATTTGCGTAATTTCAAAGTCTTAATGTCTTTAAAAATTAAGTCTTTTGATACTTTAAAAGAATAACTTCGCTTATTGTTGGATTTATGAGCCATAAAGAACACATTCAATTAAGCCAAATTTCAGAAAACTCCAGCTGATTGAATCGAACGTTTTCGGACTCTTTCAACAATTTGCTTAATTGCAAAACGCCACGAATCACTTCACATTGTCCCAGAAGACTAACAACAACTTTACAAGAAAAAAAGGGGTAAAAGGGGTAAAAGGGGCGTCCCGGGAATTATTCTTGGTTCCCAACATCGGCGGGGTATATGGGCTATATATGCCTATAAATCCATCCGCTTTCGTGGCCCGTTGATTGCCGTCGGCATTGATTTATGGCCACAAGCGGCGAAGATCGCGGATGCCAGCGATGGCCAACGATCCAAAGATACAAAGATACATTTTGACAACACATGGCGGAATCATAGGCAGAATAAGAAAAATAAATATGGCTCCGCAATAACCATTTGCGTTTGTCCATTAAACAAATGTGCAAAAAACGAAAACACCAAATGAATTTGTAAGGCAGCGAAACCTAAACAAACTGGCGCTCACAAATTGAGCAACATTTTCGAACCGGCGAGGAAAACATTAAACACCAAGCACAAAAACTAAAGAATATAAATTATTAACTATGTTGGCACTTTGGCTAATGTATTCTTCATTTGTTTTTTTTCTGAGGCCTCCCTTGTCAAAAAGTCTGGTACTTTTTTGTACACAAAATGTGTTTAAAGGATGTCAAAGTGTGTTGAACTTGACAGCTGCATTTATTTATGACAGCCAAAATATTGGTTTACGACGAGTTGTTGGTTAAATGTTTGCTAATTTGGGTTTAGAGTTGCAGTCGTAAAAGAGATTTAATGATGTGAAACTCGGCTTCGTTATCGATTTTATTACTGCGAAGGTTTTTTGATCATAATATGTATGTGTTAATAAAAACTGATTGAATTGTGCACGTCATTGTGTCGTTAAGATTACCAGTAAAATGCATTTTCCTTAATTATGAGTACTATATAAAGAGAAGCCTAAGGCACCTAAAAACTTTCCCTACTTTCCGCAATTACTTGTTTATTATACTATTTAACTTGAATCCTTGATAATTATATGAAATGTTGGTCGATATTACATAAGTTATTCACTATTTTAAATAAATTTTTGCATAACGATTAATTTGTTTATTTATCATTCTCTATTCAAAATATTGATTTTATTTACAAACTTCGCATTGAATTTTTCCATTCTTTCACCATTAGTTGTTATTTCAGACATTTTACACCAAAAAATCAGAAATTTAAAACCAAATACAAAAGTGGTCCACTTTTGTTGTTTTTTGGCAATAACATTTCCGTCTGAACATGAGTGAAATGCAAAATCAATTCGGTAAATATTGAACATAGCCATTATTTTCATTTTCTAGTGTCTGTGATTACACTTGTTATTTATTGTTCCTGTTTTTCCCTACAAAACAAAATGTTTTTTCACAATTTCTCGCTCTTTCTCTTTCTCTTGTTTTCTGGTTATTTGCATTTTGCATTTTTGGCAATTTGCAGAAATAACAAAAGCGAATGGCGGACAAAAGAATGGGCGAAGAAAAACACAGTTAGAATAGTAAAGCGTAACGTTTTCACAAAGTTGTTGTTATTTGATATTTCACTTTTTGGACCCTTTTTTTAGCGTTTTTCTTTTGGGGCCAAGGAAAATGTTTTCATTATTCATTTTTTCCATCATATATAAGTGACCTACATTTTTTGTTGTTTTTTCCAAGAGCAATTGCACTTGCAATTCAGTTGTTGTTTTCGCTTGAATTTTTTGTTTTATTCATATGTTTTTATCCAAATAAAGATGCTGCTCAGCGGTTGTAATCCGTTTTAATTGATGTTTTGTTCCAAGAAACTTGCATTTTTCTCAGCGGTTTTGTTATTTTGCGTTTTATTTGTGTGTTTTTTATCTGGCACTTTAGCACTTGAAAAAAAAGTGGCGACAAAAACAAGGATTAAATGAGGCTGTGAAAACGATAATCGAAGTCGAAATTAAAAGCAATAACGAATACAATTGAAAAACAACAACAAATGTTCCGCAAAAACACACACACTTACACACGCGAGTGCGAGCGAGATGGAGCGAGTTGCACGCGTTTACACGGAGCCGCAAGAAAAAAACACCCGAATTTAACGGTACAACGGCCGCGAAAGAACCGTTCGAGTTGAAGCAAAGTCGACGAATGGCGCGACAAAGCGCAGGACGCGATAAAGAAGCGGAATAAGTATACGCTGGTATCGTCGGTCCGCTTGTCCGTTATCTACCTTCAACGGAAAGCGCCATCCGAATACTAAGGGACTGAACGTAAATCCGCTCTCTTTCATCCGCTGGAGGCGATTACTCCTATCTGCTAACAGAAACTCTACAGAAACGCTTAACAGGACAACGATTTCTCAATCGGTTTGGGCCACAGAAACCTATATGCAACCCTTAAGAGAAATTGGTGAAAAGGGCCACAGAGAGTGTTTGAAAAAGAGAACCACGATTGAGATTTTGTTTGCTTCGCTTCGTTTCCACTCGTGTCGCGTTCGGGTGGCTCTCTTTGACAAAATTTTCTTACATTTGCAGAGCAACGGCAGACTCCACCCCCCTCTCGCCAACAAACCAGGCTCTGGCTGCTCTGCAAATTTGGAAATGCGTTATTCCTGTTAAGTTTCTGTTAAAAACCGAGTGGAACTACAGTGCTTACATTCCACTGGTCGCAGAAACAGGATTCGCTAACATTATGTAAGCGGCCACAGGTTTCTGTTGTTGTTTGCCAACATCTTTCCTTTTGTATTTCATTTGTATTACTTTTTCGTTTTGTTTATTAAACAGCTGTTTGGTGTTTGTTTAATGTTTTTATGTTTTAAATTATATAACAAGTAAAGAAAATTAAATTAAGTACTAAGTAAAATCTATTTATATGTAATAGTCAACTGTTTTAACAGTTCTCTTGAAAAAAAAAACGGAATTGGGTTTACTTTTTTAAAACCACTCAAATATTTATCTTTACTTTTAAATTCAAGTTTCACCCTTATCAATTTTTATTATAAAATTGTTTATTATACTTTCCCTACTAAATTTATGCTTTTTGCTCGTTTAATGTTTTATGTAACTATTTACTGTGCTCTTAAGACTCCCACTACTTTGTTTCTCTTCTCTTTCCATAGACTCTCTTATACTTTTCTCTTGCCGTATCCTTTTTGTATAGCAGTTATAACAGTCGGTACTCTTATACGCCTAAAAAGTGGTTACCAACTTGGCTATTTTCGGAAACAACTTGTTGAAGGATTTGCATTTTTATCTCATTTATTTGGCTTGCCATAAAGTTGTGATATCTTAATATTTCTGGGTCTTTAATTTGCATTTTTTGGCCCTTTTCTTAAGCTCTGTGTGAGTTTCATGTTTTTTGCCAAAGATTAATTGTCCAAAATGAAAAGTGGAGTGTTATAAATGGCGATCGTAACTTGACACTTTTTAAAACAAAAATACAAAAATAACAGGGAAACAGTTACAACATTCGGGCACAATTCTCACATTCAAAAAAACAAAAACAATAATAATAAGGTCAATCAACGGACTCAGCGGGCGGTGACTGCGCTGCCGGCGTCGCTGTCAACAGCTGTCGCGCATGCGCATAAAAAATGAAAGAGACAGCTATACAGAGAGGTGGTGAGATGTAAATGCACACAAAACAATTAGGCGACATTTTAAATATTATTGATTTACAATTGATAAATGAGCTGGAATTTTATTAATTAATTTTTAATACTCTAATAGCTTCTAATTAATTTATATAAAAATAAATAGCAATTATTCAATAAATTAAATTATATTAAATTTGTGGTAAAGTGTTTTCAAATTGCTTTATAATTATTGTGTGTGTTATTTTCTGTTCTATTAAACTTAAACCCATTTTGTCTTTTATTTCTTTACGAAAATAACAAATGGATCATAAATAATTTTTTGTAGTGTACTAGCAGTAGATTAATTGCATCGTCGGCGGCGTGAATTTATGAATTTCCCATGAGTGATGGGATCTCACTCCAATTTTTTTGAGCGCCACTTGAGGAAAAGGAAAAGCAAGACAACATATTTTCAAATTTTCCCATTTTCTTTCTGTAGTTGTTGCGTGGGCCCGCATTGTTTTTGCTTTTATTATGGTTGATAGTTGGCCATTTGTTATTGGTAAGCTGATCCGTTACGGTTGGTGGATATATCTCCCGTAAACTAGGCATAGTCCAATCATGAAAATAATGGACAACTTTCATCCATTCATCAGAGCAATTCAATGGAAACCATAAGGTTTATAGAAAGTAACAAAAAAAAAACTAAGCCAATATCAAATATATTTCTCTAAGAATTCGAATTCTTAATTCTTAAAGTTCTTTAAACATTTCGTATGTTTTTAAAACTACACCTCCTAAAACCCATTTTATAGAATATCATTTATTTTATTTATGGTTAGCTTAGTTATTTTTCCCTATAAGTGAATTGTAGATTTCGAATGGCAATATTTTCTTTATTAGAGGTTTAATGACTCCGAAATTGTCAACGATTTCCGTTTCGAGTTCCCAGGCTTAATCTGCTCCCCGGATTGAACTTTCAACTTTGTTTTGACATCCAGAGACAAATTCAATTAAGCCAAATCAGTCGACAATTAAACAATTGAATATAATTACGCGAAATTATGAGCGTCGTCGTCGAAAGAGAAGGGCGCCGAAATTGCGGATTTACGAAGCTCAAAAGGCCTAATTAATAACGAAGTGAGCAACATGATGACGAAGGTCTTCCAGGTTTGAAAGGCCTTCACATCCGAAGTGAAGAACCCAACTCAGTGGGACGTCTCTGCGGTCAACTCCTACTGCTTTTTGGATATATTCTTGTGCCATCAGAGGCGAACCCCCAGACCCCGAAACCCTTTCCATTCAAATATAAACGAATACCATCCATTTGTTTGCCCTGCCACCTTTTCAACTCCTTTAATGAAGTGGATAAGCAAACTGAAGCCAAGTATCCCACTGGTTTTCGTACCGTATCTGTATCTGTATCTGAATCTTCTGGTTGCTATATCGCCTGGCGGATGTGTGTGTACAGTTATAATTAAGTGATACACATAAACGGGCGCCCCAGACATCGACTTCTCTCACCCGTCAGTTTATTCGAATTCGTATTCGTATTCGTATTCGTATCCGCATCCCAGGTTTCAGTTTCTGTTTTCTGTTTAATGATTGTTTTCAATTAGTCTGTTCGTTTTCCTCGCCTTTGATACCCGCTCATTGCGATGGTTTTTGAGAGGTATACCCTTCTCTTGGAAACCTTTCCGTTTTGGGGATCGTGTTTCCAGAAGATCGAGTGCTGAAATCACACTTTTTCCGCTCGGAAATAAATCATCGATCGATCATTAAAAGGTTTGCTTAAATTTATTCAGCCGCTTAAAGAAACTATTAATCTGATATTATCATCCATTCGGTAACATCAATTATACGAAGCTTTTAGTTTTATTAATTAACAATTTAAAACATTTTTGGGTATTTAACTAAAATATGCCACAGAAAAACGTTTTTTATGTGTGATATTAAATTTCAATTGAATTTACCCGTTTTCAATAATTATTATACTTTTTAGTAGCCCTTTAACCTTTTTCAAATAAAACTTGTTGATTTTGTATTGAATAAAAATAAACCTTAATTGTTTATATTTTTTTTAACCCACAATTATTGTATCTAGCAGTTAACTAATGTTTTTAAGGCTTAAAGACCTTTAACCAAACATTAATTTCTTAGGTATCTCAAAGTCGAAACCCTTATATATTTAAATTTCCGCTAAGATCCTCTTCTCCTCCAGACAAACAAATCTGAAGAACAGAAAAACCGAGCCAGTCACTCACTAAGCCACTCGCTCAATCTCTGACTCACTCACAAAAAAAAAAAAAAAAAGTGCGGAGGCGTTGGAAAGGGTTTAGTTTTTTACAATTTAGTAGGGACTGTGTTCGGAACAAAAAACCATTGAGTCAATCCGGTACGAAGCGCCTTTTAAGTGTTTACGCTTGTTTTATTAATTCCCATCATACATCTTCGACTGTCAGCGAGAACGAGCATCTCGAAATCATCTTCGACTTCTCACCAGATTCGATCATCACTCGTTAACGATCTGCCACAACAAAAACAAACCCATCAAATCGATTTCACTTGTAGTTTAGTCAAAGAAGTATACCAAGTAAAATGTAAACTTTAGTACTTGAATCACATATAAATATTATATTTATTAAAACGAATTTTCTTTCAGCAATTGTTTTTCTTTTTATTTCTGTATTTCTATTCAAATAAATATGACACCCTTTTGAGATTGATTTTAACTAAATGACTATTTCTTCTTGTTTTCTGATTCCGTACCAAATCTGAATGTTTCTTGATTAAAGATTTAGAAAAGTTTAAAGAGCCTCTGCTGCTTTTTGTTTTTTAGTTATTTTTAGGGACTCGGTTTCGCTTCCGGACAGTTCAGACCCAGATCTGCCAAAGACAACTGGAACGAATGACGACCTCAGTGCAGTCAATTGACCGCTAACTGTTGCAGGACTCCATGTCCTCCGAACTTGTGGCAGCCACAACGTGTGGCAGACAGCTTAAGACGCTCCCTGACAGCCTGTCCACATACTCGCCACACTTGGCAAAAAAAAAAAAAGGGGATTGATATACAAAAAAAAACTCTAAAAACATTAATGTTTAATAAAGAATAAATTCATAAATTCAGGTATTTTGTTTTAGGAAATTTCAGAATACTTTTCAGACTAAAAAAAGTTTTGATAACTTGTAAGCCTCTTTTTTTTATAAAAAAAAACAATGTATAAATTTGTATAGTTTTATTTTAAATATGTACATTTAAACTAGATTTGATAATTAAGAAAAGGTGTTAGCTGGTTGTTTTCTTTTTTGACAAATTTATCAATAAATATTGTAACTAATTTTTTATTGTACTTTTTATTTTCAGAATCAGTTAAATGCTCGTTCCGGTTGTTTACGATGCATGATAACTTCGAGATGCTGGAAAGGGAAGTGGGGAAAGGGAGGGGGGAAGGGGAAAAGGGGGAGTGGGTCAGAATGGAGGCCGTGTCGTTGACAGTCGTCATGCGCAGCTACTTAGACGGACATAAAATTATGATTACAGCAAATGCCACATGCTCCACATACCACTCCCCTTTTTTGGGGGGTAAAGGGGGGAGGGGGGTGTGCAAGGAAAAAGGAAAAGCATAAGGGGGCGGAAAAATCCGAGGCAATTCATTACAATAAGCTCACGAATGTGCCATAAAAATGGCAGCTCTCTTTTCTTGCGGCACTGCACTCGAAGCATGAAATTGCCAATTCCAATCCGGTTTTAGTTGTAAAAACTTTCATGATCCCCACATTAATAGAATATGCCATGTACTCCGCTCACTCAGACTCCAGTCCCCGATAATCTCTCATCTTTTCGGCAAGGCCATTATGGATTGTTCCCACCGCAGCTTCCGCAGGATTCCCAAAACCCAGCCCACGAGGAGCAGGTCCTTTTGTTCCGGCTATCTGTTGAGTTTATTTAATGCTAAGAAGTCTTAGTGCCAGCATTAAAGATTATACTAAGCGAACACTTCTTGGGAAATCTACAGAGTTACACTTGAGATCTTAATCTTTTAAGTAAATATATTTTGAATACTAAAAACTTAACAGCTTATTTTAAGTGCAACAAATAAAACCATAGAAAAAATGCCTATATGCAGGCTATATTAATATTAAATTAAATAAAATAATTAATTTTGGGCTACAAATCAATACCAATTTTATAATTTCCTAAGAGCACAAGTTGAAAAGATTTTGTAAATGGTCTTAAAAATAACTTAGAATGAATAAAATGTAACATACAAAATCTCTTGTTAATAAACATTTTCAGAGCTTATATTTCCAGTTAATATTATGTTTAAATTTACCAGCAGGTAAGCCAAACCCTACTTTACAACAATTTGTAATTCTTGGCCAAATCCCATCCTTTTGGGAAGCCATAAGCAGTTCGCTTCTTTCTGGCGCATATCTTACTTACATCTGACATAATTAACCGCCCCAAAATTCCACGAAATTAAGCTCTCCTATTTAGCCCCCTCCGCAGTAATTTAGTGTAAACAAACCACTTGACTATCTCAACGTTGTCGTCGTCTCCATGTTTTCCCTGGGAAAATCCACTCGTTTCCCGCCTCGCTTTTTAAGCCGCTGGCTCATTGTTTGTGCCGCATGGTTTTCCATTCCATTCAGAGGAATACGAATACCCGATGGAGCTCGACGGGAATGGAGCTCCTCCAGAAGCTCCGCAATCATTAGCTGTAACATTAGCGTCTGTCTTGCGGTGGAAACTTTCGGCTACCTGAAACGCTTTTCCCTCGCTCTGCTCTTCCCCTTGCCCTTTCCCTTCCGTTTTTCCTTTCCTTTCTCGGGGAAATCCACCAAAATGTGCAAGAAGTACAAGAAGCAGCAGGGGGAGGAGGAGGTGGAATCCAATGGCAATGGTTAAACCTATAAAACCACGTAATCTCCAAGCGAGTTCTTTAATTATGCTGCACACACACACACAGAGCCACTGGAAGTTGGCACTGGAGCATCAGGTGGCAGGTGGAAAAGCCGCCCAGAAGGGGGAGGGAGAAGGGAGGCGGGGCAGCTCCAAACAGGGAGCCTAAAGGAGGAGAAAACCAGGAGGAGCAGAGCAAACAAAATGCGAGGCGAAAGCCGCTTACAAAACCGCAAAATGCTACGGACATCTTTTTGCGCCAGTCGTTGGGCAGCGGGGGAGAAACGCCCGAGCGGGAAAATCAAGAGGGTTGGGTGAGGGGGGAGGGGGAAATCGGAGGGTCTGGTGTCCGGAAAACTGGAGACAAAAAAGGCGAATCCAATGGCCACCAAAGGCAGCCATTTTGAAGTTTGCCGCTGCGGCTTTGGTGTCTCCACATCTGCCTGGGATTACAATGGAGCTGCACTTGTAGATGAGATACGAGACTGCGGAAAAGCCCGGCAAAGACAAGAGCGAGATGGGTAGACAGACGGCCACCGACTGAGAAAGAGACAGATAGACCAACTGACAGTCGGACGGACAAACGGACGGACGGACGCCGATAAACAAACAAACTGCGATCCGGCGAACACGGATGCCAATGCGAAAGCATTTTGCGGATTTAATTGCCGTTAACATGAGGCGAGCTCCATTTTCCTTTAGACTTCTGCAACACGCAAAGAAATCGAGGAGCAAGTTCTCAAAAATCAAAAAAAGAAATAAAAAGAAATTTTAAAAAATATAATGGTTTAAAACACCTTACTAAATTTAAAGGTATTTTTATTTAAAACTGTTTCTTTTCTATCCATTTCTTTGACGATCTTGTATTTTTATTGTGTATGAAACCCAAGTTTTATTTAAAAACGGCCTTTTTATACACCTCTGAGAAATTCAGGTTAACACCATAAGAACTTGCCTAATTATTTTAATTTTGTAAGCGATATCTTAAAAATAAGTTACGATTTTTGTAGTGTTTTTTTACTATTAAAACTTTGTTGTTTATGCTCCTTTTTTTATTATTTTTGGGGCTTAAAATGATTTTAGTATATTTAAGATACTAAACACCTAGATTTACCAATTTGTCCCAGTGCATCTGTTGTCTGGACGGGTTTTGGGCAACATGAGTCTCAAAGAGTGCCGCAGTCCAGCCGTAGATTAGAGGGCAAACGTTGACATTGTGGAGGTTCCTTCGGCACTGTTTTCCCCAATGTTGTTTGGACTTGCCAAGCTCCCGCAGAAAACTCCACTTTACCCACTTTTGTCACCCCAAAAATTTCGCTTGATGGATTTAAGTTTGGTTTCAATTGCACAAACAACACACAGAGCTTATAAGCAGAAAAAAATAAGATTTCGATGCTCCCAAATAGCGAATAATGTTTATAGTTGATTTTAAAAATAAAGGTATCTCTTTGAAATATTTTTTAACTGAAATTACATTTTTCTGTCTTAAGTAAGACACATTGTTGTAAAATAACCTGCCATCCATAATAAAAATACAAAGCAAGTAAATCTAAAATATTCGATAGTTTCAAGAAAGAATTTAAATGAGAATCAAAAGCTTAAAGGTGAAATAATTGATTTCACAGAAGTACAATATATAAATGGCGGTCTGTCAATGGTTTTTGGGACAACCCTTGAATGTCAAATATCTATATTTATTTAAAACTATTATTAAATGAATGCTTGATCTGCACTTACCCATTTGAGTCGCCTGGTGAAAGCGGTTTAAGCTGCTGATCTGATCGGAGGTTATCGCTGATAATATAATCTGTAAAACAATAACAGGGATAAATAAGAATAAAGTTAACATATGTTTTTTGTTGGTAAGAAGCTTTCTTTACTTGTCCCAAACTTAAGCTTCTAACAGAAAAGAAAAGCGCTGTAAAAACCCTGTTAAAGGATAACTGTCTCGACAGGACGAAAAGCTTAACTCACTTCGAAAAACATCGCCGCATTGCAGAGCAGTACCAAAAAGCTTGGGACTAAAAGCTTGGGGGCTTTGTGCAATTTCCCTGCTTTTTATTTTCCTTTCTTGGAGAACATTGTTAAAATTTCCCTTTATTTTTTGACTTCAATACGTGAAAAATAATACAAACAAATAACACATATAATTTAAACACAACCCTAAACTTGACTTCTAGAGCTTAAAACTGATGAAATTGAATCGGGATGTCTAAGGTGCATTTCTCAAAACGTTGAAAATCTATATATTAAACAAACTTTATTTATTTTTACATTTTTTTGGACTCAAAACTGAGCTCATAACATGAGCAATTCTCTCCCGATATCAAAGTGGTTAAAAAACCTGAGAAAAATTAACTGAATGAATGAAATGTCAGATTTTTCTAAGTTTCAAGTGACTTGAACTTGACTTATTCTTTCCCGATTTTTAAGTGACATTAATCACTAATCTTATTATTGGAAGCATCTAAGTATTTGCATTCAAAGTTTTCTTTTTTCAAACCCTTCTGCATGACAGATTTCTCAAAGTTTTTTGTGGAAATAAACCTATGTGGACTCACCCTTCTGCAGCTGGCTGGTGGGGATGAACTCCTCGTGCTTCTGGTCGCCCTTCTCCTCGTACTTCAGCTTGTAGTCGGAGTGCTTTCGAAGGGACATGAGGAGCGACTGGGTGCGCGGTGGGATTTCTGGAGGCGCGGGTTCCGGCGGCGGCTCCTCGGACTCCCCACCACTGCTGCAGTTGCCCACATCCAAGGATCCCAGGACGAACTGATCGTCATCGCCACTGTCCTCCGGTTGCAGCAATTGTTGCTTCACCGCGGCAATCTGTTGCTGTTGTTGCTGTTGCTGCTGCTGTTGGGCAATTTGGAGTTGCTGGTGGGTCTGGGAATCGCTGCTCGAACTGGTCATTCCACTCAATCGATTTAGAGTATTCCGATTGCGATGACTGCGATTGCTCGAAGCGGCCGTTGAGGACGAAGCAGATGTTTTGAGGATATTTTCCAGGCCATTCTCCTCCCCGGAAAACTTGGAGCTCAGGAAGGGATTTGTGCTGCGCGGCGTGTTTGCAGTTCCGCCGTTCTGGACGCTGCTTCCTCCGCTGCTGCTGCTGTTGGGAAACAGTCCCAGATTGGCGTTCGATTGGTACTTGCCCGCCGAAACGGTGGAGACCTTCAAGGGTGACCCCATCGAGGAGCGCTGCTGGTGCGGCTGCGCGTAGGTCACCTCGGGGGCGGTCGCCACAGTGGGCGGGGCATCGCCCAAGGGCGTGTCCTCCGGATGGCGATCGCGCTGTCTCAAATACTCCGGTTCACAGTCCGAATTGTAGTGCTCCATGCCTGAAAAATACAGCCGAAAATCAGCAATTAGTTTCAGTTAGTAAATAAATATTATACTAATTATTTAAGGATTATCAAAACCTTCAAACAAAATGCGAGGAAAAAGTAAGCATATTATTTTAAATAGTTTTTTATTGTATTGACATGATTTTTTCCAGATGGTATTTTCGAATTAAATTTCAATTATATAGCTATCATAGGAACAACTTATCATCATAATTATAACTTCGATGTTGTTTAGCCTTTATGGCTTTGGCTCTTCATTAATTAAACTAAGTAAGTATCTCCTTCACCAAGTTTGAATTTTATTGATTTTTTTCCTTTAATAAAAGTAAATTATTATATAAATATCTCCTTTACCATTAAGTTCAACTCTTTTATTTTTTCCTTTAATCAAAGTACTACTTTCCAATTGCTCTTTTATTGCATTTCTTTTTTTATGCACAAACGAAATTTGATTGGAAAGACTTGGTTGGTTTTAGGGAATCCATAAGAGCAATAGTTTCATGTTTTAATGTCTACACTACGATCAAACATTTGAGGAGCTTTCTGCGTAAGCCAAACATTTACAATTCCCACGCCGCGGGATGCCGCTTTTGTTTGTCCCGCTGCGCGGAAAACTGGGGAAAGCTGGGGAAATTGGGAGAGGAGCTGGCTTTTCAATTTTCCCCGCAAGTGTAACGGCCGGACAAACAATTTGCGAGGAGCGGGAATCGTCGCGTTCGTCCGAGCGTTATTAGGTTGTAAAAAATGAATCGTAAATTGCATTAAATATTAACAGACAATAAAACGAAACGAAATGCAGGCTTCCCGTAAAAAAAACGGAGCGGTTTTGGCTCGGCAGTCGCTCCGATTTGCGTTTTATGCTTCGATTAAGTTCGCCCTGGGAAAGTGGGCGGAAAATGGGGCGGAAAAGTGCGGGGGAAATGGGAGGGAGGAGGGGCGTGTGGGGAAAATAATACCGGAGAGGATGTGCCATTGTATCGGCCATTAGGCAGGCGCTGCCAACTTGATTGTAATTGAATTGCACACTGCTGACGTTCGCGGTGCTGCCATCGGAGTATTGTCAAGTACAGTGAAAGCCAGCACTTAACGAACCATTTTGTATGGCTTTTATGCACCTGTTAAAGTCATTCAATTTACCGGGAAAAAGTGTGTAAAGCTTTCAACAATGTAAACTTGATTGATTTCCTGTGAAAAATTGTTTCCTATGCAGCTTTATTATTTTAAGGGTGTTTATTTGTTTAAAAGTAAATATAAGTAATAACATTAAACAATAATACAAGCTTTTTAAATAAACTGTTGGTTTGTTAGATGCTTCTATCTTCTAAATGTAATTTAAATTTACAGACTACACATTTTTGCGTTTACAGATTACACAAACATGAATTTCCAAATAGGTTGCAATGGGTTTTACTATTTACGCTGTGTATAAAGTAAATTAAATGTTTGCCTACCAAAATCAAATCCAAATGTGGTATTACTTTTGTTCAGATCTATCTGAGTCTGTTTCACTGTCTTTGTTCGGTTACATCGGGCGATTTACTGAATTCAATCAGAGAAATGTCAGGAGTGCCCACAATTCCCCCTCTCCTTCAAGTTTACCTTCAACCCTCCACCGCCCCCTTTTCCCGCCCTTCTCTTTATCCCAGCATCTTGGCCAGCTCAATTTCAATGGCCGGCAATCGGAATCGATTTGTGCGCCAGGTCCTAAGCCACTCGGTTAGTTGGTTAGTTGGTTACTCGACAACCTCGACGCAGTTGCGGCAGCTGAATAATTCAATTAAATAAAATAATGAATATTTACTGGCTTGACCGACTGGCAAATCGCATTCGGTTCCTAATATCCATCCTAAGAAAGCCCTTCATCATACACTGGGCGGAAAATGTTTAGTAAATTTATATGGTATACAACAATATGAATTTGTGTATGTAATAATTTTTATTTAATTATTTTTATTTTGCGTTTTTAGTTAAAAAAAAACCTTAGTGAACTTATAAACTATACATGAGGGTTATTCTGTTAATACTCTGATATTCCTGATAAGATACGTACATACATCTTTAGAATCTTAAAAAATTAAACATTTGGAGAAAAGAAGTAATCGATAAACGTTTATAGAACCAGAATTTTCGTGGGCACTCTCAGGTAAGATCAGAGGCCTTAAAATAATCAATGTTTTTTCTAATCATGGAAATTTTATTCGGAATTTACTAGTGGGTACATATATTCAAAAGACCTGTACTTCAAGATCTTTATAATCTTCAAATACAAATTACTGCCAGGATCTTAAAAGTTTCTCAAATGGTAGCTTCCCTATATTATTAAAGAAAATAAACTCTGAATTATGTCCAAATTAATTAATTACTTTCTGGAATTTCTCGGTGTGTATATTCGGAAAATCTAAATCTAAATCTTGTAAATTGGTTAGAGAATCTTCTTAACTACAAATACAAATTGCAAACGGAACATAACAAAAACCTCTCTGAAATTATAACTCTCACATTTTTTATCAAACTAACTTGCTTCTTTTTGTAAGTGCTAGATATTTCTCTATGTGCATTTGCTTGAACACTCACTTGCCAATTGCTGACTCTGCAGCAGCAGCTGGGCGAGCAGCTGGGTGTCGAAGGCCGTCGTCTGTCCGGTGTTCTGGTACTCGTCCTCGCTGCTGCTCCCGTAGCCGTGACCCATGCCGTGACCCATTCCCAGGCCGTGACCGTGACCGTGTCGGCCGTGACTGTGCCACTCGGCGGACCGCTGGCGCCTCAATTGCTCACCGCCGCCGCTCGCGGATCCCGTGAGTCCTGCAAGTCCGCCGGAAGCATAATAGTACTCGCTGCCGGCAGCACTGCCGCTGCCGACGCGTTTACGGCCAATTGTGCCGGAGTGACTGCTCGACATTATGATGGAAGCTTGGAAGCCCAAACAGCCGGATATTTGGCTATTCGAATGAGGTGGAACTCAAGCTACTCCACTGCAATTTATCCCGTGGATCTCACACTGGAAGTGGATTTAGTCGCGGATATAGCTGCGGATATAGATGTGGATACAGATGCGAATATACTCGTAGAGGCGGATGTAAATGTGGATGTGGCAGCTGCCACCGCTGCTGCTGCAGCTCCGCTCCAGCACCTCCGGCTGGCCAACTGGCTGTCCATGTGGTGGTCCATGGACCAGGTCGCTTTAAGTGCTTAACCGAATTAACGCTGAAACGATAAAAACGACAAAGTGTCAGAGAGGAGAAGATAAAGCCATAAATGCACGAAAATGAAAATAAATAGCAGCCGGTACCAGGCTATCCTGGTATTATCCCCCCCGGTACTTTCACTTTGACTTCTGGACGTAAAGTGAACTTAATAGCAATTGCAGGGAGGCATCCCATTCCCATTCCCATTCCCCTTCCCACACCCCCCACAAAGTAACAAAAAAAAAAAAACAAATAGTGTTGGTCACATGGAGATTATGGAAAAAAAGCCAAGTGACGCGAGAAATGTTTGTAGCTAGAAACGAAGTATCCTTTTTTATTCTTAAGATATTTGGAATGTACAAAAACAAAAGAAAATTCCATATGCAAACAGTTTTCTTTACATTAATAAATATTTAAGGTAACACATACATTAAAGCACGATATAAAAAATATCCTTTAATGGCAATCAAAATAATTATATGCAACTATAATCTTCGCAGACTAAGAATTTTTTAGAGTAAGTTTCTAAAATAAAGAATATTATTATATTAGCGCTCTTAATGTTTCCCTTATATAATTTTACATTTTTATGTTTACATTTATATTTATTTATTTAAAGGGATAATTATTTGCAATAATTTTCTTTCATTTTTTAGAACTTTTCTTTGAAGGACCTGAAAATTGATCTTTATGTAATTTTTATTGATAAATGGTTATTTAATTTTTCAAGTCAAAAACAAATCACATTTTCCGCTACAAAAAGGCCAAATTAGCATCGCTGCTGGCCAGCCCTCTGTTTATGGCTGCTTTCTTGGCTTAGACAGACAATTTGACTTTTGATTTTGATGAGTGAGCATTTGAATGCACTAAAACACAGGGGCAAAGGGGCAGGAACACAAGTGGGTCATTACTGGCAGCCTCCACTGGATGCGGGTTAAGGCTGCCTGCTCAATGGCCACGCAAACGTTCAAAGGGACACGAGGCACAAAGGTTATCCTTTCGGAGGACTCAGCCCTTCCCCGGCATCAAGGACTCAAGGATTGTATGTATAAATGCTATCGTTTACGATGTTCAAAGGCGAAGCCGTTCCGTTCCAATGGAAACTCCTATGAAAGGCCTCCAAAAGCCCTCTCAAATCGGAAATCCAATGATGAATTATAATATATAACTACTATCTACCTGCATTTTCAATCTGATTTTAGAAAGCTTAATTATGTCAGTAGATTGAAAGGCTATCTCTCATCTTATTTCACACGAAAAATATATGCAAGCATTTGATTCATTTCATGTTTATTTATTTTCTGAAATTTGTTAGTTTTAAAATGTCTTTTAAATACTTAAGATTTTAAAGTGTTTTTTAATCTTTTTTTAATCTTACAATATTTACCATTATTAGCTAAAAAAGACTTAACAAAACCATAAATTGTACCTCTAACTCATCGAATATATTATTGCGTACAGCCTAAACAATGAATTTCAAAATGCAAATCCTTATGTCTAAATTTACAAGCGCTTAGCACGACAATACACGAATATTTATTACTCCCTCAGCTTTTTAACAGCTGAAACAATAAAGCAAACAAATAATAGGATTTTCCTTGTTTTCTATGACTGACTAATATTTTAATACCTTTGTATGAATTTATTCTACAATAAAATTAAGTCTTCGAACCAATTGTTTGCTAGTCCTGGCAAATATTTTGTATTAAGCTATCTAAAAATCTCAATAAAAGTTAATATCACATATCAATTTATATGTACAGACCGAAACAAGAAAAACAACATGAATTCAAGATACCCAGAGTGCTAAAATCCATTCTTTATATGCTGAGGCCGACACAGTTTTCTGGCTTCTTTCCAGAGAGTGGCAGAATGGAAAACTATTGCCAAACAGGACATGCTCACTCCTCCTTCAGTGTTGTAAAATGGTGTAACTGAGTGTTTGGCTTCTTGGGTAAACAGAGCTTAATCGAATGCAACTGCATTTGCAGTCGAGTTCAAGTCAAGTCGTATCGCCTTCTGTGACTCATGGAACTGCTTTTTTCCACCACTCCCCCGACAATCTCCTCTCCCCGAGAATCCCCTACCCCCTTAACCCTCTTCAAGCCCCTTTAACCCCCCATTGGTGCACTTTTCTCCATCGGCAAATGCACAATTTGGCCTGCAAAATGCATATTTGTGGCATCCATTTGTATGGCTTTGTTGGTCCGTAGTCCGAACCGAAAGATAATCAAATACGCATTTCTCTTTCTCCGCCTGCCACTCTACCGCTCTCCCTCTAATGAACGAAGCCAGGGTTGCCAGCTTGGCTTTATAGTTTGGGAAATACCGTAGAGTTTAGAGATTAATTATTTTATTTTCATATTTCATCGGAATATACGTTTTAAGTTATTAAGATCATTTTACTGAGTGGATTTGATATTTGCATTTACTTTATTGCCAAAGTTGACAACTGTTAACACTGATCAAAAATATTTAACTCTTTTAAAATAAGGCATTTAAACATTTTTGATACAATAAAAACAGCCAATAATTCAATTTTAAAATATTAAAAATTGTCCAATCAAGTAGTAATGTCTACATGCATAAATTTAAAATTTGAAATTAACAGAGTGCAATTGAATGAACGCTTAATCACTGCCAAAAATATAGCGGTATTTTTTGTTTTTCATCTCCTTCAATTTGTAAGCCTTAATTTGGCTGTTAACTCTTGCAGCTTTGGCCGGCAACTCTGTTGATGGCTGGGCCCAAATGGAAAAGCTGCTCAGCATCAATTGCAATTTTAAAGTGAAGCCTGCATCGGCTGCAACGGAACTCTGCCAACGAATTAAGAGCAAAATATTATATGCTCGGCAAAATGTACCTTATGCAACATTTGGGGGGCGTTGCAAATAAAAAAAAAATGAAAAAAAAAATAGGAGGAGGAAGAAGGGGGCGTGGCATGGGTGTTGGGAGTGCACGCAATTATTTTGCATGCTCCATTTTAACAATTTGGAGAAAGAAATGTGAGCCAGTGAAATGCGAAAATGAATGAATGAATGGGCGACTGAATGCTCTTGCCATCTCGCTTCCACTTGCCAAGTGAAAAGTGGGGCATTAAAGCCTAGAATCCGACATTTTCATATGCATGCTTAAGTACGTCGGGCGGCTACAACAACTAAAACAACAACAACAACAACAACAAAAACCGAAACAGCAACAACAACAACAAAATGCCACAAGGAGCCAAGAAAATATTGAGTTAACCCGAGCAGCGCTGCCCTAAAAGTATGCAATGAAATGTTATTTTCCTCATTTCCACAAAAACTTTCTCTCCAGACCCTCGACCTCTCACCCCCCTTTCACCCCTTTCACCCCTTTCACCCCCTTTCCCCATTTCCCCTTTTCCCCCAAAATCTCCACTGAGAAACTTCGCCGCGATGCAGCTGCTATTTGAGATGCTTTCCTCCGGTCTGGTCTTAAATTAATTGCGGCCCAGGAAGTTCCATCAAGCAATGACCTCAAAGAGATGATAATTTTGTGTGGAATTCGACGGGGTTTTAGCTCTACTGATGTCTTAAATTTGATATTTTACTCAAATCTGTGGAGGAATTCATTGCGTGAATCATAGCAAACTTAGGAAATGAAAATAAAAGTTGCCAAGACCGAAAGTTGAAACGTCCAAGCTTTTCTTTGCCACAAAAATATTTTTTTAATACCAATTAAAAGAAGATAAAATTCTATGAAAATGTTAGCCTTGCTAAAATGAAAAGTTTACTTTCGACATAAAATTTTTTTTTCTTTTTGGTACAAACATATTTCTAAATATTTTAAAACAAATTAAAATAAGATAATTATCTACGAAAATAAAAAGGAAACAGTTTTAGTCTTTTCAAAGAAAGTTTAATGTTTATTTTAAAATTTCTTAACTGGTTTTTACTATATAGATATTTAAAATATTAAATAAGAAAATGGGAAGAAGATAATGTAGGGCTTTCTCAGTATGACTTTCACTGCAATTCAATAAATTCAATAAATTCAATAAAGTTTAAATAAAACATGTATGTATTATATATTATTTTTCATTGACTGACAAGTTTGAAAATATTCCTACGTAATTGTATGTAACAAAGCTCAATAGTTGATTTCACTGAATCATTTTCCCGAAAACCCGCGTCACATTTGTCAAACCATGGCTGCGTTCGCCTTTGACACTTAATGAATTACAAATTGAGATGGGACGCAACCTTTTGTTTGCTATTCCGCCTTGGATATGGCATCATTTGAATTCAGCATTTTCACTCTGTGGGTTTTTCCAGTACGCATTTCCTCTGACATCAATCGTTCTGCCGAAGCCTTTCATTGTTTCAGCCGCAATATTTATGCAGACGAGCGAGTGTGTAAAAGATATTTACTGTTCCATATATAGGGTTTTATATATAGAGTGGATGTGGGATATTGGCGGGGAAATTCGGTTGAGGGTGTTCAGGATCCAATGACAATGGAAAATGGCTCTGCGAACCACAAGCTCTCTATGGCCTCTTTCTCATTCCGTTGTCAACCGCAAAACGTTTAATTACATGTCAAAATGCGAAATGCATTGAACAAGACAGGAACCATAACACTCACTCCCCATTCCCCATTCCCCATTCCTCCTTCCCTTTTCCCCGTTATTTCCCTACCGAAATTTTCCATTTTCCATTTGCCACTTCCTCCAGCAGCAAAAGCGCTTCCTGAGCCGCTGCGTCAT